GAGAGAGAGAGAGAGAGAGAGAGAGAGAGATTCATAGCAGCACTATTTGGTAACAGCCCAAATCTTGAAACAACTCGGTGGCTACCAGGAGTAGAATAGACACAGGTGAACTACTGAAGCATTGGGGCAGTGAGACAGAGCAGGTGAACGAACTGCAGCTATTCGGGGAAGAGCCTCCCACATGTAATGTGGAGAAAAAGAACCAGCATACCAAATAGAACACACTACATCATTCCTTTCACGTAAAGCACCAAAGTAGGCAAAACTAACATGTTATAATTGAGGCAGGATGTGTAATGTCTGAAAGTAGGAAAAATACTTTCTTAGGTTCTGGTGATCATTTTTTAAATTGTTACAGGTGTGTTTGTTTGTGAAAATCTGTTGAACTGTTCATTTTTTGTGTATGTTGTATTTCAATTAAAGTTTACATTAAACTTTTTTCCCCAAAAAAAGTGCTGTGGAAAAAAGAGAGAATGACTAAATACACCTGACACAGGTGAGGCAACATTCGAGTGGGTTCTGCTGGGATAAGGTGTTTACAGGCAGAGAAAATGGGAAGAGAGACATTCTAGGAAGAGATAGCAAAGTGAGAAAAGCACATCATATCCGGTAACCGAGGTCTGCTCATGTGATGAGACTGGACATACGAGGGAAAGTGAGACAAAGCGTAAGATGAAAAACTGGTTGAAGTGGACTTGAAGGTCATATACACCAGGCCTTAAAAAATACTAGTGTCAAGCTGGGTACAACCGCACATGTCTTTAATCCAGGAGGCTGAGGCAGGAGGACTGCTTGAGCCTAGAGGTCTGAGGCCAGCTGGGCAACACAGGGAGACTCCAACTCAAAGCAAAATAAGCAGGGTGTGATAGCACACACCTATAATCCCAGCATTTAGGAACCTCAGGCAGGAGGATTGCCATGAGTTCGAGGCCAGCCTGTGTTACACAGTGAATTCAAGCCCAATCTGAACTACATAATGAGACTGTCTCAAAATAAATAAGATAAAATGAAAATAAAAACTGGTTC